ATGTATGTATGTATGTATGTGTGTGTGTGTGTATGTATGTATGTGTGTGTATGTATGCATGTGTGTATATATGTATGTATGTATGTATGTATGTRTGTGTGTGTGTATCTGTATGTTTGTTTATAAAACAATGATATAGTTTATTGTTAAGAAAAAAAAACAACAATTTTTGTTTTGTTATATACATATGTCATGTCGTTGTGTTTGTATATAACTTAGTATTAATTCATAAATATTAAAAACCTTATTATTATTATTATTATTACATAATTGTTAGCTAAGTTTAAATGTCATTTAGACTTCAAAGTATTATTTTCGTCAGAAAAAATAAGTAATTGTTATTTGTGTTGTTGTCTGTAATAAATGTTTTTATTATTATTATTTTTTTTCATAAAACTTTATTTTTTCTATGCTTTAATTTGGTAACTCATTTACTGTGTGTATGTGTGTGTGTGTGTGTGTGTGTGTGTGTGTGTGTGTGTGTGTGTGTGTGTGTGTGTGTGTGTGTGTGTGTGTGTGTGTGTGTGTGTATAGTATACCTGTATATATATATAGTCTATGATGTTATGATATGATAATATAGGAGCGGATCGGTTGGCATTTTATTATTAAAGGGTGAGACCTATTATATAATATAATAATACAGTACTATATATATACTGTACAGTATATATAAGTACATGTAATGTTAGGCAACTGTTTATATTATATATAAATGTCATACTATTATATAATACAATATATACTGTAGTTTAAGTATATGATAGACAGTCTAAGATATATACGGTATATATATATATATATAAAACAATTTTTTGTTTATTGTTTAAGTGTTGGTCATGTAATAAATAATAGAGTACTTTATGTAATATAAAAACTTTTTTTAATTTTATTTTTTGTGTTGTTGTTGTTGTTTAAACTATACATTTACACAATAACAATATAAATCAGTTATATAAATGCTAAATGCTAAACAACAACAATGGGGCACCTGTAGCCGTTGTGTACAGTAGGACATACCTATGTGTGTGTGTGTGTGTGTGTGTGTGTGTGTGTGTGCACCAAAAAAAAATACAGGTGCTCTTTGATCTAATCCGGATAGTATTGTATTGTTTTTTTTTGTATTATTATTATTTCAGAGGTAAATTAAATCAAACATTATTAAATGCATAAACAACATACATAATAATAATGAAATAAAAATATTATTAAGAAAATAATATAATATAATAAATAATAAATAATATATATATAAAGTAAAGTAATATAATTTTTTAAAAATTCAATTGAATTGTTATATACATTACAGTATATATATATATATAAGTGTGTAAATGGTTATGAATTGACAATAAAAATAGTTTTAATTCAACAACAAAAATTTTTTTTATATACTATATATATATATATTTGAGATACAATAATAATAATAAAAAAAATCTTATATAAAAGTTAAACAAAAATAAAACCATAAATACTTAATTTAAAAAATTTTATTTAAAATAAATAATTGAATATAAGGATTGTTTGTTTGTTATTAATAAAAATATTAATAATAATAATAATAATAAAAATGGGAACAAATTTGTTGTATTGATTGTCTTTAAAAGGGAGTGTTTGTTATGTGTAAGTAAATGTTTGATTATTTATTTATATAAATAATAATAATAAATATATATATATATATTGTAAAAAATTATTATTATTTAACACACGGATGAAATAATAAGTGGGGGAACGGTATGTATATATATATATATAGTATACCCTTACTCTCATCCCCGGATAATTATATAATAATAGGGGTTCAGCTCTCTCTCTCTCTCTCTCTCTCTCTCTCTCTCTCTCTACATATATATAGTTCATACAAATATATAGGTATTTATACAACAAAAATAATAATAATAAGTAAATTGTATTTATTTTTTTAAAAAATAAGTAAACAATTAATTGCACAAAAAAATAACATTAAATACTTTTGTTTTTTAGTCACAATAGACTTTCCAATAAAATATATTAATATATATATAAAAACAAAAAAACAAAATAGTATTTTATATATAAATATTAAACTAATAAAATTATTATAAAAAAAACTTTTGTTTTGTTAGTTAATATGAAATATTAAGAGCAATCTCTCTCTCTCTCTCTCTCTCTTTCTCTCTCTCTCTCTCTTTACAATTAAAAACACTTATTTATCCGCACTTTTTATTTTACTATTACATTACAGACACACACACAAAACATAAACACTATCTACGCTATCATCATATCATGACTGCATTTAAAACAATAAAAATTACTTTTAATTTTGTTGTTTTAAAAGAGAGAGAGAGAGAATAAAAAAGAAAAAAATTGGAAAAAAACAAAACATAATAATAAATAAATAAATAAAAAGTATTATTATTTAGTTAAGCGATTGACTCGTGAATATTGTGTGTGTAATGTATATAATATGTATATATATTTTAATATAACGTTAAATTAGAGGTAAAACTAT